GTCTAGAGGAACACCAACTTCAGCACAGCAACTCGAGGAATGCTCCGTGTACCCCAAATCGTCTCGAGATGAGAGCTGATTCCCTGGCTTAGGGTCAATACGTATGCCAACTTTCCAGAAGCACCTCAGGAGGAGGCTTCTCTCAGCAATAGGTATGTGGGAGGGACCCCGAGTTTGCTGCCTCAAGGGGAATATACAGCGAGAAGCCCTAACTTGAAAGGAGGCCGGATTTCCTTGCAGTGGCTTGAATACAGGCTCGTCTTTCATCTCACAACATGAAGGGATGTCGGAATCCACTGTGGAGACCTTAGAGAAAGCCCTAGGTCCCTGCCTCATTTTGACGGAATGCCTCACATCCCGCTGACACCTCGAGAGGCACGCAGAGTTCATTGCTTCAAAAGGTGACGATGCCTGACTCTTCTTGAATACTGATAGGAATCCCAAAATCCCCGTGGCTACTGGAAAGGGTCCTTGGGTGCCCTGCCTCACCTCGAGAAGCGTCCGTTTTGCCCTGCCAAACCTCGAAGAGATTCCTGAGGTGTCCCTCGTTACTAGACAGGAGTCCTGACGTCAGTGAAGAAACTCGTGTTTTGAAGGGCCTTCCACGCCGTAAGTCGAGAACATACCCGAGGTCCCTGCCGCAACTCGAGAAAAACCATGAGACTTCCCCCTAGAGGCGAGATGAGGCCCCATTCCCCTGCAGTGCATGCAGAGCTATTCCGTGATCCCATTCAAACAAGTCAGGAGCTTCGACTTGCTTAATCGATCTCGAGACAGTCCCCAAGAACACTGTCACCAGTCTAGATGGACCCTGAGGCCACCCCAGCAACGCAAAGCAGCTGCATGTGCCCCAAATCAACTCGAGATGAGGCCCGATTCCCCTGCATTGACTCCAGAGCCATTCCCCGATCCCCATTCAACACGACCGGTGGCTCGACTTCCTTCAGGCAACTCCAGAGATTCCCCGAGAACACTGTCCGAAGTCTAGAGGAACACCAACTTCAGCACAGCAACTCGAGGAATGCTCCGTGTACCCCAAATCGTCTCGAGATGAGAGCTGATTCCCTGGCTTAGGCTCAAGACGTATGCCAACTTTCCAGAAGCACCTCAGGAGGAGGCTTCTCTCAGCAATAGCTATGTGGGAGGGACCCCGAGTTTGCTGCCTCAAGGGGAATATACAGCGAGAAGCCCTAAATTGAAAGGAGGCCTGATTTCCTTGCAGTGGCTTGAATCCAGGCTCGTGTTTAATCTCACAACATGAAGGCATGTCTGAATCCCCTGTGGAGACCTTAGAGAAAGCCCTAGGTCCCTGCCTCATTTTGACGGAATGCCTCACATCCCGCTGACACCTCGAGAGGCACGCGGAGTTCATTGCTTCAAAAGGTGACGATGCCTGACTCCTCTTGAATACTGATAGGAATCCCAAAATCCCTGTGGCTACAGGAAAGGGTCCTTGGGTGCACTGCCTCACCTCGAGAAGCGTCCCTTTTGCCCTGCCAAGCTTGGAAGAGATTCCTGAGGTGTCCCTCGTTACTAGACAGGAGTCCTGACGTCACTGAAGAAACTCGTGTTTTGAAGGGCCATCCCGCTGTAAGTCGAGAACATACCCCAGGTCCCCGCCCCAACTCGAGTAAAACCATGAGACTTCCCCCTAGAGGCGAGATGAGGCCCCATTCCCCTGCAGTGCATGCAGAGCTATTCCGTGATCCCATTCAAACAAGTCAGGAGCTTCGACTTGCTTAATGGATCTCGAGACAGTCCCCAAGAACACTGTCACCAGTCTAGACAGACCCTGAGGTCACCCCAGCAATGCAAAGCAGCTCCATGTGACCCAAATCAACTCGAGATGAGGCCCGATTCCCCTGCATTGACTCCAGAGCCATTCCCCGTTCCCCATTCAACATGACCGGTGGCTCGACTTCCTTCAGGTAATTCCAGAGATGCCCCGAGAACACTGTCCCAAGTCTAGAGGAACACCAACTTCAGCACAGCAAATCGAGGAATGCTCCGTGTACCCCAAATCGTCTCGAGATGAGAGCTGATTCCCTGGCTTAGGCTCAAGACGTATGCCAACTTTCCAGAAGCACCTCAGGAGGAGGCTTCTCTCAGCAATAGTTATGTGGGAGGGACCCCGAGTTTGCTGCCTCAAGGGGAATATACAACGAGAAGCCCTAACTTGAAAGGAGGCCGGATTTCCCTGCAGTGGCTTGAATACAGGCTCTTCTTTGATCTCAAAACATGAAGGGATGACTGAATGCCCTGTGGAGACCTTAGAGAAAGCCCTAGGTCCATGCCTCATTTTGACGGAATGCCTCACATCCCGCTGACACCTCGAGAGGCACGCAGAGTTCATTGCTTCAAAAGGTGACGATGCCTGACTCCTCTTGAATACTGATAGGAATCCCAAAATCCCTGTGGCTACTGGAAAGGGTCCTTGGGTGCCCTGCCTCACCTCGAGAAGCGTCCCTTTTGCCCTGCCAAGCTTGGAAGAGATTCCTGAGGTGTCCCTCGTTACTAGACAGGAGTCCTGACGTCACTGAAGAAACTCGTGTTTTGAAGGGCCATCCCCGCCGTAAGTCGAGAACATACCCCAGGTCCCCGCCGCAACTCGAGAAAAACCATGAGACTTCCCCCTAGAGGCGAGATGAGGCCCCATTCCCCTGCAGTGCATGCAGAGCTATTCCGTGATCCCATTCAAACAAGTCAGGAGATTCGACTTGCTTAATGGATCTCGAGACAGTCCCCAAGAACAATGTCACCAGTCTAGACGGACGCTGAGGTCACCCCAGCAACGCAAAGCAGCTCCATGTGCCCCAAATCAACTCGAGATGAGGCCCGATTCCCCTGCATTGACTCCAGAGCCATTCCCCGATCCCCATTCAACACGACCGGTGGCTCGACTTCCTTCAGGCAACTCCAGAGATTCCCCGAGAACACTGTCCGAAGTCTAGAGGAACACCAACTTCAGCACAGCATCTCGAGGAATGCTCCGTGTACCCCAAATCGTCTCGAGATGAGAGCTGATTCCCTGGCTTAGGGTCAATACGTATGCCAACTTTCCAGAAGCACCTCAGGAGGAGGCTTCTCTCAGCAATAGGTATGTGGGAGGGACCCCGAGTTTGCTGCCTCAAGGGGAATATACAGCGAGAAGCCCTAACTTGAAAGGAGGCCGGATTTCCCTGCAGTGGCTTGAATACAGGCTCTTCTTTGATCCCAAAACATGAAGGGATGACTGAATGCCCTGTGGAGACCTTAGAGAAAGCCCTAGGTCCATGCCTCATTTTGACGGAATGCCTCACATCCCGCTGACACCTCGAGAGGCACGCAGAGTTCATTGCTTCAAAAGGTGACGATGCCTGACTCCTCTTGAATACTGATAGGAATCCCAAAATCCCTGTGGCTACTGGAAAGGGTCCTTGGGTGCCCTGCCTCACCTCGAGAAGCGTCCCTTTTGCCCTGCCAAGCTTGGAAGAGATTCCTGAGGTGTCCCTCGTTACTAGACAGGAGTCCTGACGTCACTGAAGAAACTCGTGTTTTGAAGGGCCATCCCCGCCGTAAGTCGAGAACATACCCCAGGTCCCCGCCGCAACTCGAGAAAAACCATGAGACTTCCCCCTAGAGGCGAGATGAGGCCCCATTCCCCTGCAGTGCATGCAGAGCTATTCCGTGATCCCATTCAAACAAGTCAGGAGATTCGACTTGCTTAATGGATCTCGAGACAGTGCCCAAGAACACTGTCACCAGTCTAGACGGACCCTGAGGTCACCCCAGCAACGCAAAGCAGCTCCATGTGCCCCAAATCAACTCGAGATGAGGCCCGATTCCCCTGCATTGACTCCAGAGCCATTCCCCGATCCCCATTCAACACGACCGGTGGCTCGACTTCCTTCAGGCAACTCCAGAGATGCCCCGAGAACACTGTCCCAAGTCTAGAGGAACACCAACTTCAGCACAGCAACTCGAGGAATGCTCCGTGTACCCCAAATCGTCTCGAGATGAGAGCTGATTCCCTGGCTTAGGGTCAATACGTATGCCAACTTTCCAGAAGCACCTCAGGAGGAGGCTTCTCTCAGCAATAGGTATGTGGGAGGGACTTCGAGTTTGCTGCCTCAAGGGGAATATACAGCGAGAAGCCCTAACTTGAAAGGAGGCCGGATTTCCTTGCAGTGGCTTGAATAAAGGCTCGTGTTTAATCTCACAACATGAAGGCATGACTGAATCCCCTGTGTAGACCTTAGAGAAAGCCCTAGGTCCCTGCCTCATTTTGACGGAATGCCTCACATCCCGCTGACACCTCGAGAGGCACGCGGAGTTCATTGCTTCAAAAGGTGACGATGCCTGACTCCTCTTGAATACTGATAGGAATCCCAAAATCCCTGTGGCTACAGGAAAGGGTCCTTGGGTGCCCTGCCTCACCTCGAGAAGCGTCCCTTTTGCCCTGCCAAGCCTCGAAGAGATTCCTGAGGTGTCCCTCGTTACTAAACAGGAGTCCTGACGTCACTGAAGAAACTCGTGTTTTGAAGGGCCATCCCGCCGTAAGTCGAGAACATACCCCAGGTCCCCGCCGCAACTCGAGAAAAACCATGAGACTTCCCCCTAGAGTCGAGATGAGGCCCCATTCCCCTGCAGTGCATGCACAGCTATTCCGTGATCCCATTCAAACAAGTCAGGAGCTTCGACTTGCTTAATGGATCTCGAGACAGTCCCCAAGAACACTGTCACCAGTCTAGACGGACGCTGAGGTCACCCCAGCAACGCAAAGCAGCTCCATGTGCCCAAAATCAACTCGAGATGAGGCCCGATTCCCCTGCATTGACTCCAGAGCCATTCCCCGTTCCCCATTCAACACGACCGGTGGCTCGACTTCCTTCAGGTAACTCCAGAGATGCCCCGAGAACACTGTCCGAAGTCTAGAGGAACACCAACTTCAGCACAGCAACTCGAGGAATGCTCCGTGTAGCCCAAATCGTCTCGAGATGAGAGCTGATTCCCTGGCTTAGGCTCAAGACGTATGCCAACTTTCCAGAAGCACCTCAGGAGGAGGCTTCTCTCAGCAATAGGTATGTGGGAGGGACCCCGAGTTTGCTGCCTCAAGGGGAATATACAGCGAGAAGCCCTAACTTGAAAGGAGGCCGGATTTCCTTGCAGTGGCTTGAATACAGGCTCGTCTTTCATCTCACAACATGAAGGGATGTCGGAATCCACTGTGGAGACCTTAGAGAAAGCCCTAGGTCCTTGCCTCATTTTGACGGAATGCCTCACATCCCGCTGACACCTCGAGAGGCACGCAGAGTTCATTGCTTCAAAAGGTGACGATGCCTGACTCTTCTTGAATACTGATAGGAATCCCAAAATCCCCGTGGCTACTGGAAAGGGTCCTTGGGTGCCCTGCCTCACCTCGAGAAGCGTCCGTTTTGCCCTGCCAAACCTCGAAGAGATTCCTGAGGTGTCCCTCGTTACTAGACAGGAGTCCTGACGTCAGTGAAGAAACTCGTGTTTTGAAGGGCCTTCCACGCCGTAAGTCGAGAACATAACCCAGGTCCCTGCCGCAACTCGAGAAAAACCATGAGACTTCCCCCTAGAGGCGAGATGAGGCCCCATTCCCCTGCAGTGCATGCAGAGCTATTCCGTGATCCCATTCAAACAAGTCAGGAGCTTCGACTTGCTTAATCGATCTCGAGACAGTCCCCAAGAACACTGTCACCAGTCTAGATGGACCCTGAGGCCACCCCAGCAACGCAAAGCAGCTGCATGTGCCCCAAATCAACTCGAGATGAGGCCCGATTCCCCTGCATTGACTCCAGAGCCATTCCCCGTTCCCCATTCAACACGACCGGTGGCTCGACTTCCTTCAGGCAACTCCAGAGATGCCCCGAGAACACTGTCCCAAGTCTAGAGGAACACTAACTTCAGCACAGCAACTCGAGGAATGCTCCGTGTACCCCAAATCGTCTCGAGATGAGAGCTGATTCCCTGGCTTAGGCTCAAGACGTATGCCAACTTTCCAGAAGCACCTCAGGAGGAGGCTTCTCTCAGCAATAGGTATGTGGGAGGGACCCCGAGTTTGCTGCCTCAAGGGGAATATACAACGAGAAGCCCTAACTTGAAAGGAGGCCGGATTTCCCTGCAGTGGCTTGAATACAGGCTCTTCTTTGATCTCAAAACATGAAGGGATGACTGAATGCCCTGTGGAGACCTTAGAGAAAGCCCTAGGTCCATGCCTCATTTTGACGGAATGCCTCACATCCCGCTGACACCTCGAGAGGCACGCAGAGTTCATTGCTTCAAAAGGTGACGATGCCTGACTCCTCTTGAATACTGATAGGAATCCCAAAATCCCTGTGGCTACTGGAAAGGGTCCTTGGGTGCCCTGCCTCACCTCGAGAAGCGTCCCTTTTGCCCTGCCAAGCTTGGAAGAGATTCCTGAGGTGTCCCTCGTTACTAGACAGGAGTCCTGACATCACTGAAGAAACTCGTGTTTTGAAGGGCCATCCCCGCCGTAAGTCGAGAACATACCCCAGGTCCCCGCCGCAACTCGAGAAAAACCATGAGACTTCCCCCTAGAGGCGAGATGAGGCCCCATTCCCCTGCAGTGCATGCAGAGCTATTCCGTGATCCCATTCAAACAAGTCAGGAGCTTCGACTTGCTTAATCGATCTCGAGACAGTCCCCAAGAACACTGTCACCAGTCTAGATGGACCCTGAGGCCACCCCAGCAACGCAAAGCAGCTGCATGTGCCCCAAATCAACTCGAGATGAGGCCCGATTCCCCTGCATTGACTCCAGAGCCATTCCCCGTTCCCCATTCAACACGACCGGTGGCTCGACTTCCTTCAGGCAACTCCAGAGATGCCCCGAGAACACTGTCCCAAGTCTAGAGGAACACTAACTTCAGCACAGCAACTCGAGGAATGCTCCGTGTACCCCAAATCGTCTCGAGATGAGAGCTGATTCCCTGGCTTAGGCTCAAGACGTATGCCAACTTTCCAGAAGCACCTCAGGAGGAGGCTTCTCTCAGCAATAGCTATGTGGGAGGACCCCGAGTTTGCTGCCTCAAGGGGAATATACAGCGAGAAGCCCTAAATTGAAAGGAGACCCAATTTCCTTGCAGTGGCTTGAATACAGGCTCGTGTTTAATCTCACAACATGAAGGCATGTCTGAATCCCCTGTGGAGACCTTAGAGAAAGCCCTAGGTGCCTGCCTCATTTTGACGGAATGCCTCACATCCCGCTGACACCTCGAGAGGCACGCGGAGTTCATTGCTTCAAAAGGTGACGATGCCTGACTCCTCTTGAATACTGATAGGAATCCCAAAATCCCTGTGGCTACAGGAAAGGGTCCTTGGGTGCACTGCCTCACCTCGAGAAGCGTCCCTTTTGCCCTGCCAAGCTTGGAAGAGATTCCTGAGGTGTCCCTCGTTACTAGACAGGAGTCCTGACGTCACTGAAGAAACTCGTGTTTTGAAGGGCCATCCCGCCGTAAGTCGAGAACATACCCCAGGTCCCCGCCGCAACTCGAGTAAAACCATGAGACTTCCCCCTAGAGGCGAGATGAGGCCCCATTCCCCTGCAGTGCATGCAGAGCTATTCCGTGATCCCATTCAAACAAGTCAGGAGCTTCGACTTGCTTAATGGATCTCGAGACAGTCCCCAAGAACACTGTCACCAGTCTAGACGGACCCTGAGGTCACCCCAGCAACGCAAAGCAGCTCCATGTGACCCAAATAAACTCGAGATGAGGCCCGATTCCCCTGCATTGACTCCAGAGCCATTCCACGTTCCACATTCAACATGACCGGTGGCTCGACTTCCTTCAGGTAACTCCAGAGATGCCCCGAGAACACTGTCCCATGTCTAGAGGAACACCAACTTCAGCACAGCAAATCGAGGAATGCTCCGTGTACCCCAAATCGTCTCGAGATGAGAGGTGATTCCCTGGCTTAGGCTCAGGACGTATGCCAACTTTCCAGAAGCACCTCAGGAGGAGGCTTCTCTCAGCAATAGGTATGTGGGAGGGACCCCGAGTTTGCTGCCTCAAGGGGAATATACAGCGAGAAGCCCTGACTTGAAAGGAGGCCGGATTTCCCTGCAGTGGCTTGAATACAGGCTCTTCTTTGATCTCAAAACATGAAGGGATGACTGAATGCCCTGTGGAGACCTTAGAGAAAGCCCTAGGTCCATGCCTCATTTTGACGGAATGCCTCACATCCCGCTGACACCTCGAGAGGCACGCAGAGTTCATTGCTTCAAAAGGTGACGATGCCTGACTCTTCTTGAATACTGATAGGAATCCCAAAATCCCTGTGGCTACTGGAAAGGGTCCTTGGGTGCCCTGCCTCACCTCGAGAAGCGTCCCTTTTGCCCTGCCAAGCTTGGAAGAGATTCCTGAGGTGTCCCTCGTTACTAGACAGGAGTCCTGACGTCACTGAAGAAACTCGTGTTTTGAAGGGCCATCCCTGCCGTAAGTCGAGAACATACCCCAGGTCCCCGCCGCAACTCGAGAAAAACCATGAGACTTCCCCCTAGAGGCGAGATGAGGCCCCATTCCCCTGCAGTGCATGCAGAGCTATTCCGTGATCCCATTCAAACAAGTCAGGAGATTCGACTTGCTTAATGGATCTCGAGACAGTCCCCAAGAACACTGTCACCAGTCTAGACGGACGCTGAGGTCACCCCAGCAAAGCAAAGCAGCTACATGTGCCCCAAATCAACTCGAGATGAGGCCCGATTCCCCTGCATTGACTCCAGAGCCATTCCCCGATCCCCATTCAACACGACCGGTGGCTCGACTTCCTTCAGGCAACTCCAGAGATTCCCCGAGAAAACTGTCCCAAGTCTAGAGGAACACCAACTTCAGCACAGCAACTCGAGGAATGCTCCGTGTACCCCAAATTGTCTCGAGATGAGAGCTGATTCCCTGGCTTAGGGTCAATACGTATGCCAACTTTCCAGAAGCACCTCAGGAGGAGGCTTCTCTCAGCAATAGGTATGTGGGAGGGACTTCGAGTTTGCTGCCTCAAGGGGAATATACAGCGAGAAGCCCTAACTTGAAAGGAGGCCGGATTTCCTTGCAGTGGCTTGAATACAGGCTCGTCTTTCATCTCACAACATGAAGGGATGACGGAATCCACTGTGGAGACCTTAGAGAAAGCCCTAGGTCCCTGCCTCATTTTGACGGAATGCCTCACATCCCGTTGACACCTCGAGAGGCACGCAGAGTTCATTGCTTCAAAAGGTGACGATGCCTGACTCTTCTTGAATACTGATAGGAATCCCAAAATCCCCGTGGCTACTGGAAAGGGTCCTTGGGTGCCCTGCCTCACCTCGAGAAGCATCCGTTTTGCCCTGCCAAGCCTCGAAGAGATTCCTGAGGTGTCCCTCGTTACTAGACAGGAGTCCTGACGTCACTGAAGAAACTCGTGTTTTGAAGGGCCTTCCCCGCCGTAAGTCGAGAACATACCCCAGGTCCCTGCCGCAACTCGAGAAAAACAATGAGACTTCCCCCTAGAGGCGAGATGAGGCCCCATTCCCCTGCAGTGCATGCAGAGCTATTCCGTGATCCCATTCAAACAAGTCAGGAGCTTCGACTTGCTTAATGGATCTCGAGACAGTCCCCAAGAACACTGTCACCAGTCTAGACGGACGCTGAGGTCACCCCAGCAACGCAAAGCAGCTCCATGTGCCCCAAATCAACTCGAGATGAGGCCCGATTCCCCTGCATTGACTCCAGAGCCATTCCCCGTTCCCCATTCAACACGACCGGTGGCTCGACTTCCTTCAGGCAACTCCAGAGATGCCCCGAGAACACTGTCCCAAGTCTAGAGGAACACCAACTTCAGCACAGCAACTCGAGGAATGCTCCGTGTACCCCAAATCGTCTCGAGATGAGAGCTGATTCCCTGGCTTAGGCTCAAGATGTATGCCAACTTTCCAGAAGCACCTCAGGAGGAGGCTTCTCTCAGCAATAGCTATGTGGGAGGGACCCCGAGTTTGCTGCCTCAAGGGGAATATACAGCGAGAAGCCCTAAATTGAAAGGAGGCCCAATTTCCTTGCAGTTGCTTGAGTACAGGCTCGTGTTTAATCTCACAACATGAAGGCATGTCTGAATCCCCTGTGGAGACCTTAGAGAAAGCCCTAGGTCCCTGCCTCATTTTGACGGAATGCCTCACATCCCGCTGACACCTCGAGAGGCACGCGGAGTTCATTGCTTCAAAAGGTGACGATGCCTGACTCCTCTTGAATACTGATAGGAATCCCAAAATCCCTGTGGCTACAGGAAAGGGTACTTGGGTGCACTGCCTCACCTCGAGAAGCGTCCCTTTTGCCCTGCCAAGCTTGGAAGAGATTCCTGAGGTGTCCCTCGTTACTAGACAGGAGTCCTGACGTCACTGAAGAAACTCGTGTTTTGAAGGGCCATCCCGCCGTAAGTCGAGAACATACCCCAGGTCCCCGCCGCAACTCGAGTAAAACCATGAGACTTCCCCCTAGAGGCGAGATGAGGCCCCATTCCCCTTCAGTGCATGCAGAGCTATTCCGTGATCCCATTCAAACAAGTCAGGAGCTTCGACTTGCTTAATGGATCTCGAGACAGTCCCCAAGAACACTGTCACCAGTCTAGACAGACCCTGAGGTCACCCCAGCAACGCAAAGCAGCTCCATGTGACCCAAATCAACTCGAGATGAGGCCCGATTCCCCTGCATTGACTCCAGAGCCATTCCCCGTTCCGCATTCAACATGACCGGTGGCTCGACTTCCTTCAGGTAACTCCAGAGATGCCCCGAGAACACTGTCCCAAGTCTAGAGGAACACCAACTTCAGCACAGCAAATCGAGGAATGCTCCGTGTACCCCAAATCGTCTCGAGATGAGAGCTGATTCCCTGGCTTAGGCTCAAGACGTATGCCAACTTTCCAGAAGCACCTCAGGAGGAGGCTTCTCTCAGCAATAGGTATGTGGGAAGGACCCCGAGTTTGCTGCCTCAAGGGGAATATACAGCGAGAAGCCCTAACTTGAAAGGAGGCCGGATTTCCCTGCAGTGGCTTGAATACAGGCTCTTCTTTCATCTCAAAACATGAAGGGATGACTGAATGCCCTGTGGAGACCTTAGAGAAAGCCCTAGGTCCATGCCTCATTTTGACGGAATGCCTCACATCCCGCTGACACCTCGAGAGGCACGCAGAGTTCATTGCTTCAAAAGGTGACGATGCCTGACTCCTCTTGAATACTGATAGGAATCCCAAAATCCCTGTGGCTACTGGAAAGGGTCTTTGGGTGCCCTGCCTCACCTCGAGAAGCATCCCTTTTGCCCTGCCAAGCTTGGAAGAGATTCCTGAGGTGTCCCTCGTTACTAGACAGGAGTCCTGACGTCACTGAAGAAACTCGTGTTTTGAAGGGCCATCCCCGCCGTAAATCGAGAACATACCCCAGGTCCCCGCCGCAACTCGAGAAAAACCATGAGACTTCCCACTAGAGGCGAGATGAGGCCCCATTCCCCTGCAGTGCATGCAGAGCTATTCCGTGATCCCATTCAAACAAGTCAGGAGATTCGACTTGCTTAATGGATCTCGAGACAGTCCCCAAGAACAATGTCACCAGTCTAGACGGACGCTGAGGTCACCCCAGCAACGCAAAGCAGCTCCATGTGCCCCAAATCAACTCGAGATGAGGCCCGATTCCCCTGCATTGACTCCAGAGCCATTCCCCGATCCCCATTCCACACGACCGGTGGCACGACTTCCTTCAGGCAACTCCAGAGATTCCCCGAGAACACTGTCCGAAGTCTAGAGGAACACCAACTTCAGCACAGCAACTCGAGGAATGCTCCGTGTACCCCAAATCGTCTCGAGATGAGAGCTGATTCCCTGGCTTAGGGTCAATACGTATGCCAACTTTCCAGAAGCACCTCAGGAGGAGTCTTCTCTCAGCAATAGGTATGTGGGAGGGACCCCGAGTTTGCTGCCTCAAGGGGAATATACAGCGAGAAGCCCTAACTTGAAAGGAGGCCGGATTTCCTTGCAGTGGCTTGAATACAGGCTCGTCTTTCATCTCACAACATGAAGGGATGTCGGAATCCACTGTGGAGACTTTAGAGAAAGCCCTAGGTCCCTGCCTCATTTTGACGGAATGCCTCACATCCCGCTGACACCTCGAGAGGCACGCAGAGTTCATTGCTTCAAAAGGTGACGATGCCTGACTCTTCTTGAATACTGATAGGAATCCCAAAATCCCCGTGGCTACTGGAAAGGGTGCTTGGGTGCCCTGCCTCACCTCGAGAAGCGTCCGTTTTGCCCTGCCAAACCTCGAAGAGATTCCTGAGGTGTCCCTCGTTACTAGACAGGAGTCCTGACGTCACTGAAGAAACTCGTGTTTTGAAGGGCCTTCCCCGCCGTAAGTCGAGAACATACCCCAGGTCCCTGCCGCAACTCGAGAAAAACCATGAGACTTCCACCTAGAGGCGAGATGAGGCCCCATTCCCCTGCAGTGCATGCAGAGCTATTCCGTGATCCCATTCAAACAAGTCAGGAGCTTCGACTTGCTTAATGGATCTCGAGACAGTCCCCAAGAACACTGTCACCAGTCTAGACAGACCCTGAGGTCACCCCAGCAACGCAAAGCAGCTCCATGTGACCCAAATCAACTCGAGATGAGGCCCGATTCCCCTGCATTGACTCCAGAGCCATTCCCCGTTCTGCATTCAACATGACCGGTGGCTCGACTTCCTTCAGGTAACTCCAGAGATGCCCCGAGAACACTGTCCCAAGTCTAGAGGAACACCAACTTCAGCACAGCAAATCGAGGAATGCTCCGTGTACCCCAAATCGTCTCGAGATGAGAGCTGATTCCCTGGCTTAGGCTCAAGACGTATGCCAACTTTCCAGAAGCACCTCAGGAGGAGGCTTCTCTCAGCAATAGGTATGTGGGAGGGACCTCGAGTTTACTGCCTCAAGGGGAATATACAGCGAGAAGCCCTAACTTGAAAGGAGGCCGGATTTCACTGCAGTGGCTTGAATACAGGCTCTTCTTTGATCTCAAAACATGAAGGGATGACTGAATGCCCTGTGGAGACCTTAGAGAAAGCCCTAGGTCCATGCCTCATTTTGACGGAATGCCTCACATCCCGCTGACACCTCGAGAGGCACGCAGAGTTCATTGCTTCAAAAGGTGACGATGCCTGACTCCTCTTGAATACTGATAGGAATCCCAAAATCCCTGTGGCTACTGGAAAGGGTCCTTGGGTGCCCTGCCTCACCTCGAGAAGCGTCCCTTTTGCCCTGCCAAGCTTGGAAGAGATTCCTGAGGTGTCCCTCGTTACTAGACAGGAGTCCTGACGTCACTGAAGAAACTCGTGTTTTGAAGGGCCATCCCCGCCGTAAGTCGAGAACATACCCCAGGTCCCCGCCGCAACTCGAGAAAAACCATGAGACTTCCCCCTAGAGGCGAGATGAGGCCCCATTCCCCTGCAGTGCATGCAGAGCTATTCCGTGATCCCATTCAAACAAGTCAGGAGATTTGACTTGCTTAATGGATCTCGAGACAGTCCCCAAGAACACTGTCACCAGTCTAGACGGACGCTGAGGTCACCCCAGCAACGCAAAGCAGCTCCATGTGACCCAAATCAACTCGAGATGAGGCCCGATTCCCCTGCATTGACTCCAGAGCCATTCCCCGATCCCCATTCAAAACGACCGGTGGCTCGACTTCCTTCAGGCAACTCCAGAGATTCCCCGAGAAAACTGTCCCAAGTCTAGAGGAACACCAACTTCAGCACAGCAACTCGAGGAATGCTCCGTGTACCCCAAATCGTCTCGAGATGAGAGCTGATTCCCTGGCTTAGGGTCAATACGTATGCCAACTTTCCAGAAGCACCTCAGGAGGAGGCTTCTCTCAGCATAGGTATGTGGGAGGGACCCCGAGTTTGCTGCCTCAAGGGGAATATACAGCGAGAAGCCCTAACTTGAAAGGAGGCCGGATTTCCTTGCAGTGGCTTGAATACAGGCTCGTCTTTCATCTCACAACATGAAGGGATGACGGAATCCACTGTGGAGACCTTAGAGAAAGCCCTAGGTCCCTGCCTCATTTTGACGGAATGCCTCACATCCCGTTGACACCTCGAGAGGCACGCAGAGTTCATTGCTTCAAAAGGTGACGATGCCTGACTCTTCTTGAATACTGATAGGAATCCCAAAATCCCCGTGGCTACTGGAAAGGGTCCTTGGGTGCCCTGCCTCACCTCGAGAAGCATCCGTTTTGCCCTGCCAAGCCTCGAAGAGATTCCTGAGGTGTCCCTCGTTACTAGACAGGAGTCCTGACGTCACTGAAGAAACTCGTGTTTTGAAGGGCCTTCCCCGCCGTAAGTCGAGAACATACCCCAGGTCCCTGCCGCAACTCGAGAAAAACAATGAGACTTCCCCCTAGAGGCGAGATGAGGCCCATTCCCCTGCAGTGCATGAAGAGCTATTCCGTGATCCCATTCAAACAAGTCAGGAGCTTCGACTTGCTTAATGGATCTCGAGACAGTCCCCAAGAACACTGTCACCAGTCTAGACGGACCCTGAGGCCACCCCAGCAACGCAAAGCAGTTCCATGTGCCCCAAATCAACTCGAGATGAGGCCCGATTCCCCTGCATTGACTCCAGAGCCATTCCCCGTTCCCCATTCAACACGAACGGTGGCTCGACTTCCTTCAGGCAACTCCAGAGATGCCCCGAGAACACTGTCCCAAGTCTAGAGGAACACCAACTTCAGCACAGCAACTCGAGGAATGCTCCGTGTACACCAAATCGTCTCGAGATGAGAGCTGATTCCCTGGCTTAGGCTCAAGACGTATGCCAACTTTCCAGAAGAACCTCAGGAGGAGGCTTCTCTCAGCAATAGCTATGTGGGAGGGACCCCGAGTTTGCTGCCTCAAGGGGAATATACAGCGAGAAGCCCTAAATTGAAAGGAGGCCCGATTTCCTTGCAGTGGCTTGAATGCAGGCTCGTGTTTAATCTCACAACATGAAGGCATGTCTGAATCCCCTGTGGAGACCTTAGAGAAAGCCCTAGGTCCCTGCCTCATTTTGAAGGACTGCCTCACAACCCGCTGACACCTCGAGAGGCATGCGGAGTTCATTGCTTCAAAAGGTGACGATGCCTGACTCATCTTGAATACTGATAGGAATCCCAAAATCCCTGTGGCTACAGGAAAGGGTCCTTGGGTGCACTGCCTCACCTCGAGAAGCGTCCCTTTTGCCCTGACAAGCCTCGAAGAGATTCCTGAGGTGTCCCTCGTTACTAAACAGGAGTCCTGACGTCACTGAAGAAACTCGTGTTTTGAAGGGCCATCCCGCCGTAAGTCGAGAACATACCCCAGGTCCCCGCCGCAACTCGAGTAAAACCATGAGACTTCCCCCTAGAGGCGAGATGAGGCCCCATTCCCCTGCAGTGCATGCAGAGCTATTCCGTGATCCCATTCAAACAAGTCAGGAGCTTCGACTTGCTTAATGGATCTCGAGACAGTCCCCAAGAACACTGTCACCAGTCTAGACGGATGCTGAGGTCACCCCAGCAACGCAAAGCAGCTCCATGTGCCCCAAATCAACTCGAGATGAGGCCCGATTCCCCTGCATTGACTCCAGAGCCATTCCCCGTTCCCCATTCAACACGACCAGTGGCTCGACTTCCTTCAGGCAACTCCAGAGATGCCCCGAGAACACTGTCCCAGGTGTAGAGGAACACCAACTTCAGCACAGCAACTCGAGGAATGCTGCGTGTACCCCAAATCGTCTCGAGATGAGAGCTGATTCCCTGGCTTAGGCTCAAGACGTATGCCAACTTTCCAGAAGCACCTCAGGAGGAGGCTTCTCTCAGCAATAGGTATGTGGGAGGGACCCCGAGTTTGCTGCCTCAAGGGGAATATACAGCGAGAAGCCCTAACTTGAAAGGAGGCCGGATTTCACTGCAGTGGCTTGAATACAGGCTCTTCTTTGATCTCAAAACATGAAGGGATGACTGAATGCCCTGTGGAGACCTTAGAGAAAGCCCTAGGTCCATGCCTCATTTTGACGGAATGCCTCACATCCCGCTGACACCTCGAGAGGCACGCAGAGTTCATTGCTTCAAAAGGTGACGATGCCTGACTCCTCTTGAATACTGATAGGAATCCCAAAATCCCTGTGGCTACTGGAAAGGGTCCTTGGGTGCCCTGCCTCACCTCGAGAAGCGTCCCTTTTGCCCTGCCAAGCTTGGAAGAGATTCCTGAGGTGTCCCTCGTTACTAGACAGGAGTCCTGACGTCACTGAAGAAACTCGTGTTTTGAAGGGCCATCCCCGCCGTAAGTCGAGAACATACCCCAGGTCCCCGCCGCAACTCGAGAAAAACCATGAGACTTCCCCCTAGAGGCGAGATGAGGCCCCATTCCCCTGCAGTGCATGCAGAGCTATTCCGTGATCCCATTCAAACAAGTCAGGAGATTCGACTTGCTTAATGGATCTCGAGACAGTCCCCAAGAACACTGTCACCAGTCTAGACGGACGCTGAGGTCACCCCAGCAACGCAAAGCAGCTCCATGTGACCCAAATCAACTCGAGATGAGGCCCGATTCCCCTGCATTGACTCCAGAGCCATTCCCCGATCCCCATTCAAAACGACCGGTGGCTCGACTTCCTTCAGGCAACTCCAGAGATTCCCCGAGAAAACTGTCCCAAGTCTAGAGGAACACCAACTTCAGCACAGCAACTCGAGGAATGCTCCGTGTACCCCAAATCGTCTCGAGATGAGAGCTGATTCCCTGGCTTAGGGTCAATACGTATGCCAACTTTCCAGAAGCACCTCAGGAGGAGGCTTCTCTCAGCATAGGTATGTGGGAGGGACCCCGAGTTTGCTGCCTCAAGGGGAATATACAGCGAGAAGCCCTAACTTGAAAGGAGGCCGGATTTCCTTGCAGTGGCTTGAATACAGGCTCGTCTTTCATCTCACAACATGAAGGGATGACGGAATCCACTGTGGAGACCTTAGAGAAAGCCCTAGGTCCCTGCCTCATTTTGACGGAATGCCTCACATCCCGTTGACACCTCGAGAGGCACGCAGAGTTCATTGCTTCAAAAGGTGACGATGCCTGACTCTTCTTGAATACTGATAGGAATCCCAAAATCCCCGTGGCTACTGGAAAGGGTCCTTGGGTGCCCTGCCTCACCTCGAGAAGCATCCGTTTTGCCCTGCCAAGCCTCGAAGAGATTCCTGAGGTGTCCCTCGTTACTAGACAGGAGTCCTGACGTCACTGAAGAAACTCGTGTTTTGAAGGGCCTTCCCCGCCGTAAGTCGAGAACATACCCCAGGTCCCTGCCGCAACTCGAGAAAAACAATGAGACTTCCCCCTAGAGGCGAGATGAGGCCCCATTCCCCTGCAGTGCATGCAGAGCTATTCCGTGATCCCATTCAAACAAGTCAGGAGCTTCGACTTGCTTAATCGATCTTGAGACAGTCCCCAAGAACACTGTCACCAGTCTAGACGGACCCTGAGGCCACCCCAGCAACGCAAAGCAGCTGCATGTGCCCCAAATCAACTCGAGATGTGGCCCGATTCCCCTGCATTGACTCCAGAGCCATTCCCCGTTCCCCATTCAACACGACCGGTGGCTCGACTTCCTTCAGGCAACTCCAGAGATGCCCCGAGAACACTGTCCCAAGTCTAGAGGAACACTAACTTCAGCACAGCAACTCGAGGAATGCTCCGTGTACCCCAAATCGTCTCGAGATGAGAGCTGATTCCCTGGCTTAGGCTCAAGACGTATGCCAACTTTCCAGAAGCACCTCAGGAGGAGGCTTCTCTCAGCAATAGCTATGTGGGAGGGACCCCGAGTTTGCTGCCTCAAGGGGAATATACAGCGAGAAGCCCTAAATTGAAAGGAGGCCCGATTTCCTTGCAGTGGCTTGAATGCAGGCTCGTGTTTAATCTCACAACATGAAGGCATGTCTGAATCCCCTGTGGAGACCTTAGAGAAAGCCCTAGGTCCCTGCCTCATTTTGAAGGACTGCCTCACAACCCGCTGACACCTCGAGAGGCATGCGGAGTTCATTGCTTCAAAAGGTGACGATGCCTGACTCATCTTGAATACTGATAGGAATCCCAAAATCCCTGTGGCTACAGGAAAGGGTCCTTGGGTGCACTGCCTCACCTCGAGAAGCGTCCCTTTTGCCCTGACAAGCCTCGAAGAGATTCCTGAGGTGTCCCTCGTTACTAAACAGGAGTCCTGACGTCACTGAAGAAACTCGTGTTTTGAAGGGCCATCCCGCCGTAAGTCGAGAACATACCCCAGGTCCCCGCCGCAACTCGAGTAAAACCATGAGACTTCCCCCTAGAGGCGAGATGAGGCCCCATTCCCCTGCAGTGCATGCAGAGCTATTCCGTGATCCCATTCAAACAAGTCAGGAGCTTCGACTTGCTTAATGGATCTCGAGACAGTCCCCAAGAACACTGTCACCAGTCTAGACGGATGCTGAGGTCACCCCAGCAACGCAAAGCAGCTCCATGTGCCCCAAATCAACTCGAGATGAGGCCCGATTCCCCTGCATTGACTCCAGAGCCATTCCCCGTTCCCCATTCAACACGACCAGTGGCTCGACTTCCTTCAGGCAACTCCAGAGATGCCCCGAGAACACTGTCCCAGGTGTAGAGGAACACCAACTTCAGCACAGCAACTCGAGGAATGCTGCGTGTACCCCAAATCGTCTCGAGATGAGAGCTGATTCCCTGGCTTAGGCTCAAGACGTATGCCAACTTTCCAGAAGCACCTCAGGAGGAGGCTTCTCTCAGCAATAGGTATGTGGGAGGGACCCCGAGTTTGCTGCCTCAAGGGGAATATACAGCGAGAAGCCCTAACTTGAAAGGAGGCCGGATTTCACTGCAGTGGCTTGAATACAGGCTCTTCTTTGATCTCAAAACATGAAGGGATGACTGAATGCCCTGTGGAGACCTTAGAGAAAGCCCTAGGTCCATGCCTCATTTTGACGGAATGCCTCACATCCCGCTGACACCTCGAGAGGCACGCAGAGTTCATTGCTTCAAAAGGTGACGATGCCTGACTCCTCTTGAATACTGATAGGAATCCCAAAATCCCTGTGGCTACTGGAAAGGGTCCTTGGGTGCCCTGCCTCACCTCGAGAAGCGTCCCTTTTGCCCTGCCAAGCTTGGAAGAGATTCCTGAGGTGTCCCTCGTTACTAGACAGGAGTCCTGACGTCACTGAAGAAACTCGTGTTTTGAAGGGCCATCCCCGCCGTAAGTCGAGAACATACCCCAGGTCCCCGCCGCAACTCGAGAAAAACCATGAGACTTCCCCCTAGAGGCGAGATGAGGCCCCATTCCCCTGCAGTGCATGCAGAGCTATTCCGTGATCCCATTCAAACAAGTCAGGAGATTCGACTTGCTTAATGGATCTCGAGACAGTCCCCAAGAACACTGTCACCAGTCTAGACGGACGCTGAGGTCACCCCAGCAACGCAAAGCAGCTCCATGTGACCCAAATCAACTCGAGATGAGGCCCGATTCCCCTGCATTGACTCCAGAGCCATTCCCCGATCCCCATTCAAAACGACCGGTGGCTCGACTTCCTTCAGGCAACTCCAGAGATTCCCCGAGAAAACTGTCCCAAGTCTAGAGGAACACCAACTTCAGCACAGCAACTCGAGGAATGCTCCGTGTACCCCAAATCGTCTCGAGATGAGAGCTGATTCCCTGGCTTAGGGTCAATACGTATGCCAACTTTCCAGAAGCACCTCAGGAGGAGGCTTCTCTCAGCATAGGTATGTGGGAGGGACCCCGAGTTTGCTGCCTCAAGGGGAATATACAGCGAGAAGCCCTAACTTGAAAGGAGGCCGGATTTCCTTGCAGTGGCTTGAATACAGGCTCGTCTTTCATCTCACAACATGAAGGGATGACGGAATCCACTGTGGAGACCTTAGAGAAAGCCCTAGGTCCCTGCCTCATTTTGACGGAATGCCTCACATCCCGTTGACACCTCGAGAGGCACGCAGAGTTCATTGCTTCAAAAGGTGACGATGCCTGACTCTTCTTGAATACTGATAGGAATCCCAAAATCCCCGTGGCTACTGGAAAGGGTCCTTGGGTGCCCTGCCTCACCTCGAGAAGCATCCGTTTTGCCCTGCCAAGCCTCGAAGAGATTCCTGAGGTGTCCCTCGTTACTAGACAGGAGTCCTGACGTCACTGAAGAAACTCGTGTTTTGAAGGGCCTTCCCCGCCGTAAGTCGAGAACATACCCCAGGTCCCTGCCGCAACTCGAGAAAAACAATGAGACTTCCCCCTAGAGCCGAGATGAGGCCCCATTCCCCTGCAGTGCATGCAGAGCTATTCCGTGATCCCATTCAAACAAGTCAGGAGCTTCGACTTGCTTAATCGATCTTGAGACAGTCCCCAAGAACACTGTCACCAGTCTAGACGGACCCTGAGGCCACCCCAGCAACGCAAAGCAGCTGCATGTGCCCCAAATCAACTCGAGATGAGGCCCGATTCCCCTGCATTGACTCCAGAGCCATTCCCCGTTCCCCATTCAACACGACCGGTGGCTCGACTTCCTTCAGGCAACTCCAGAGATGCCCCGAGAACACTGTCCCAAGTCTAGAGGAACACTAACTTCAGCACAGCAACTCGAGGAATGCTCCGTGTACCCCAAATCGTCTCGAGATGAGAGCTGATTCCCTGGCTTAGGCTCAAGACGTATGCCAACTTTCCAGAAGCACCTCAGGAGGAGGCTTCTCTCAGCAATAGCTATGTGGGAGGGACCCCGAGTTTGCTGCCTCAAGGGGAATATACAGCGAGAAGCCCTAAATTGAAAGGAGGCCCAATTTCCTTGCAGTTGCTTGAATACAGGCTCGTGTTTAATCTCACAACATGAAGGCATGTCTGAATCCCCTGTGGAGACCTTAAAGAAAGCCCTAGGTCCCTGCCTCATTTTGACGGAATGCCTCACATCCCGCTGACACCTCGAGAGGCACGCGGAGTTCATTGCTTCAAAAGGTGACGATGCCTGACTCCTCTTGAATACTGATAGGAATCCCAAAATCCCTGTGGCTAAAGGAAAGGGTCCTTGGGTGCACTGCCTCACCTCGAGAAGCGTCCCTTTTGCCCTGCCAAGCTTGGAAGAGATTCCTGAGGTGTCCCTCGTTACTAGACAGGAGTCCTGACGTCACTGAAGAAACTCGTGTTTTGAAGGGCCATCCCGCCGTAAGTCGAGAACATACCCCAGGTCCCCGCCGCAACTCGAGTAAAACCATGAGACTTCCCCCTAGAGGCGAGATGAGGCCCCATTCCCCTGCAGTGCATGCAGAGCTATTCCGTGATCCCATTCAAACAAGTCAGGAGCTTCGACTTGCTTAATGGATCTCGAGACAGTCCCCAAGAACACTGTCACCAGTCTAGACAGACCCTGAGGTCACCCCAGCAACGCAAAGCAGCTCCATGTGACCCAAATCAACTCGAGATGAGGCCCGATTCCCCTGCATTGACTCCAGAGCCATTCCCCGTTCCGCATTCAACATGACCGGTGGCTCGACTTCCTTCAGGTAACTCCAGAGATGCCCCGAGAACACTGTCCCAAGTCTAGAGGAACACCAACTTCAGCACAGCAAATCGAGGAATGCTCCGTGTACCCCAAATCGTCTCGAGATGAGAGGTGATTCCCTGGCTTAGGCTCAAGACGTATGCCAACTTTCCAGAAGCACCTCAGGAGGAGGCTTCTCTCAGCAATAGGTATGTGGGAGGGACCCCGAGTTTGCTGCCTCAAGGGGAATATACAGCGAGAAGCCCTAACTTGAAAGGAGGCCGGATTTCACTGCAGTGGCTTGAATACAGGCTCTTCTTTGATCTCAAAACATGAAGGGATGACTGAATGCCCTGTGGAGACCTTAGAGAAAGCCCTAGGTCCATGCCTCATTTTGACGGAATGCCTCACATCCCGCTGACACCTCGAGAGGCACGCAGAGTTCATTGCTTCAAAAGGTGACGATGCCTGACTCCTCTTGAATACTGATAGGAATCCCAAAATCCCTGTGGCTACTGGAAAGGGTCCTTGGGTGCCCTGCCTCACCTCGAGAAGCGTCCCTTTTGCCCTGCCAAGCTTGGAAGAGATTCCTGAGGTGTCCCTCGTTACTAGACAGGAGTCCTGACGTCACTGAAGAAACTCGTGTTTTGAAGGGCCATCCCCGCCGTAAGTCGAGAACATACCCCAGGTCCCCGCCGCAACTCGAGAAAAACCATGAGACTTCCCCCTAGAGGCGAGATGAGGCCCCATTCCCCTGCAGTGCATGCAGAGCTATTCCGTGATCCCATTCAAACAAGTCAGGAGATTCGACTTGCTTAATGGATCTCGAGACAGTCCCCAAGAACACTGTCACCAGTCTAGACGGACGCTGAGGTCACCCCAGCAACGCAAAGCAGCTCCATGTGACCCAAATCAACTGGAGATGAGGCCCGATTCCCCTGCATTGACTCCAGAGCCATTCCCCGATCCCCATTCAAAACGACCGGTGGCTCGACTTCCTTCAGGCAACTCCAGAGATTCCCCGAGAAAACTGTCCCAAGTCTAGAGGAACACCAACTTCAGCACAGCAACTCGAGGAATGCTCCGTGTACCCCAAATCGTCTCGAGATGAGAGCTGATTCCCTGGCTTAGGGTCAATACGTATGCCAACTTTCCAGAAGCACCTCAGGAGGAGGCTTCTCTCAGCATAGGTATGTGGGAGGGACCCCGAGTTTGCTGCCTCAAGGGGAATATACAGCGAGAAGCCCTAACTTGAAAGGAGGCCGGATTTCCTTGCAGTGGCTTGAATACAGGCTCGTCTTTCATCTCACAACATGAAGGGATGACGGAATCCACTGTGGAGACCTTAGAGAAAGCCCTAGGTCCCTGCCTCATTTTGACGGAATGCCTCACATCCCGTTGACACCTCGAGAGGCACGCAGAGTTCATTGCTTCAAAAGGTGACGATGCCTGACTCTTCTTGAATACTGATAGGAATCCCAAAATCCCCGTGGCTACTGGAAAGGGTCCTTGGGTGCCCTGCCTCACCTCGAGAAGCATCCGTTTTGCCCTGCCAAGCCTCGAAGAGATTCCTGAGGTGTCCCTCGTTACTAGACAGGAGTCCTGACGTCACTGAAGAAACTCGTGTTTTGAAGGGCCTTCCCCGCCGTAAGTCGAGAACATACCCCAGGTCCCTGCCGCAACTCGAGAAAAACAATGAGACTTCCCCCTAGAGGCGAGATGAGGCCCATTCCCCTGCAGTGCATGAAGAGCTATTCCGTGATCCCATTCAAACAAGTCAGGAGCTTCGACTTGCTTAATGGATCTCGAGACAGTCCCCAAGAACACTGTCACCAGTCTAGACGGACCCTGAGGCCACCCCAGCAACGCAAAGCAGTTCCATGTGCCCCAAATCAACTCGAGATGAGGCCCGATTCCCCTGCATTGACTCCAGAGCCATTCCCCGTTCCCCATTCAACACGAACGGTGGCTCGACTTCCTTCAGGCAACTCCAGAGATGCCCCGAGAACACTGTCCCAAGTCTAGAGGAACACCAACTTCAGCACAGCAACTCGAGGAATGCTCCGTGTACACCAAATCGTCTCGAGATGAGAGCTGATTCCCTGGCTTAGGCTCAAGACGTATGCCAACTTTCCAGAAGAACCTCAGGAGGAGGCTTCTCTCAGCAATAGCTATGTGGGAGGGACCCCGAGTTTGCTGCCTCAAGGGGAATATACAGCGAGAAGCCCTAAATTGAAAGGAGGCCCGATTTCCTTGCAGTGGCTTGAATACAGGCTCGTGTTTAATCTCACAACATGAAGGCATGTCTGAATCCCCTGTGGAGACCTTAGAGAAAGCCCTAGGTCCCTGCCTCATTTTGAAGGACTGCCTCACAACCCGCTGACACCTCGAGAGGCATGCGGAGTTCATTGCTTCAAAAGGTGACGATGCCTGACTCATCTTGAATACTGATAGGAATCCCAAAATCCCTGTGGCTACAGGAAAGGGTCCTTGGGTGCACTGCCTCACCTCGAGAAGCGTCCCTTTTGCCCTGACAAGCCTCGAAGAGATTCCTGAGGTGTCCCTCGTTACTAAACAGGAGTCCTGACGTCACTGAAGAAACTCGTGTTTTGAAGGGCCATCCCGCCGTAAGTCGAGAACATACCCCAGGTCCCCGCCGCAACTCGAGTAAAACCATGAGACTTCCCCCTAGAGGCGAGATGAGGCCCCATTCCCCTGCAGTGCATGCAGAGCTATTCCGTGATCCCATTCAAACAAGTCAGGAGCTTCGACTTGCTTAATGGATCTCGAGACAGTCCCCAAGAACACTGTCACCAGTCTAGACGGATGCTGAGGTCACCCCAGCAACGCAAAGCAGCTCCATGTGCCCCAAATCAACTCGAGATGAGGCCCGATTCCCCTGCATTGACTCCAGAGCCATTCCCCGTTCCCCATTCAACACGACCAGTGGCTCGACTTCCTTCAGGCAACTCCAGAGATGCCCCGAGAACACTGTCCCAGGTGTAGAGGAACACCAACTTCAGCACAGCAACTCGAGGAATGCTGCGTGTACCCCAAATCGTCTCGAGATGAGAGCTGATTCCCTGGCTTAGGCTCAAGACGTATGCCAACTTTCCAGAAGCACCTCAGGAGGAGGCTTCTCTCAGCAATAGGTATGTGGGAGGGACCCCGAGTTTGCTGCCTCAAGGGGAATATACAGCGAGAAGCCCTAACTTGAAAGGAGGCCGGATTTCCCTGCAGTGGCTTGAATACAGGCTCTTCTTTGATCTCAAAACATGAAGGGATGACTGAATGCCCTGTGGAGACCTTAGAGAAAGCCCTAGGTCCATGCCTCATTTTGACGGAATGCCTCACATCCCGCTGACACCTCGAGAGGCACGCAGAGTTCATTGCTTCAAAAGGTGACGATGTGTGACTCTTCTTGAATACTCATAGGAATCCCAAAATCCCCGTGGCTACAGGAAAGGGGCCTTGGGTGCCCTGCCTCACCTCGAGAAGCGTCCCTTCTGCCCTGCCAAGCCTCGAAGAGATTCCTGAGGTGTCCCTCGTTACTAAACAGGAGTCCTGACGTCACTGAAGAAACTCGTGTTTTGAAGGGCCATCCCGCCGTAAGTCGAGAACATACCCCAGGTCCCCGCCGCAACTCGAGAAAAACCATGAGACTTCCCCCTAGAGGCGAGATGAGGCCCCATTCCCCTGCAGAGCATGCAGAGCTATTCCAAGATCCCATTCAAACAAGTCAGGAGCTTCGACTTGCTTAATGGATCTCGAGACAGTCCCCAAGAACACTGTCACCAGTCTAGACGGACGCTGAGGTCACCCCAGCAACGCAAAGCAGCTCCATATGCCCCAAATCAACTCGAGATGAGGCCCGATTCCCCTGCATTGACTCCAGAGCCATTCCCCATTCCCCATTCAACACGACCGGTGGCTCGACTTCCTTCAGGCAACTCCAGAGATGCCCCGAGAACATTGTCCCAAGTCTAGAGGAACACCAACTTCAGCACAGCAACTCGAGGAATGCTCCGTGTACCCCAAATCGTCTCGAGATGAGAGCTGATTCCCGGGCTTAGGGTCAATACGTATGCCAACTTTCCAGAAGCACCTCAGGAGGAGGCTTCTCTCAGCAATAGGTATGTGGGAGGGACCCCGAGTTTGCTGCCTCAAGGGGAATATACAGCGAGAAGCCCTAACTTGAAAGGAGGCCGGATTTGCTTGCAGTGGCTTGAATACAGGCTCGTCTTTCATCTCACAACATGAAGGGATGTCGGAATCCACTGTGGAGACCTTAGAGAAAGCCGTAGGTCCCTGCCTCATTTTGACGGAATGCCTCACATCCCGCTGACACCTCGAGAGGCACGCGGAGTTCATTGCTTCAAAATATGATGATGCCTGACTCCTCTAGAATACTGATAGGAATCCCAGAATCCCTGTGGCTACTGGAAAGGGTCCTTGGGTGCCCTGCCTCACCTCGAGAAGCGTCCCTTTTGCCCTGCCAAGCCTCGAAGAGATTCCTGAGGTGTCCCTCATTACTAGACAGGAGTCCTGACGTCACTGAAGAAACTCGTGTTTTGAAGGGCCATCCCCGCCGTAAGTCGAGAACATACCCCAGGTCCGCACCGCAACTGGAAAAAACCATGAGACTTCCCCCTAGAGGCGAGATGAGGCCCCATTCCCCTGCAGTGCGTGCAGAGCTATTCCGTGATCCCATTCAAACAAGTCAGGAGCTTCGACTTGCTTAATGGATCTCGAGACAGTCCCCAAGAACACTGTCACCAGTCTAGACGGACGCTGAGGTCACCCCAGCAACGCAAAGCAGCTCCATGTGACCCAAATCAACTCGAGATGAGGCCCGATTCCCCTGCATTGACTCCAGAGCCATTCCCCGATCCCCATTCAAAACGACCGGTGGCTCGACTTCCTTCAGGCAACTCCAGAGATTCCCCGAGAAAACTGTCCCAAGTCTAGAGGAACACCAACTTCAGCACAGCAACTCGAGGAATGCTCCGTGTACCCCAAATCGTCTCGAGATGAGAGCTGATTCCCTGGCTTAGGGTCAATACGTATGCCAACTTTCCAGAAGCACCTCAGGAGGAGGCTTCTCTCAGCATAGGTATGTGGGAGGGACCCCGAGTTTGCTGCCTCAAGGGGAATATACAGCGAGAAGCCCTAACTTGAAAGGAGGCCGGATTTCCTTGCAGTGGCTTGAATACAGGCTCGTCTTTCATCTCACAACATGAAGGGATGACGGAATCCACTGTGGAGACCTTAGAGAAAGCCCTAGGTCCCTGCCTCATTTTGACGGAATGCCTCACATCCCGTTGACACCTCGAGAGGCACGCAGAGTTCATTGCTTCAAAAGGTGACGATGCCTGACTCTTCTTGAATACTGATAGGAATCCCAAAATCCCCGTGGCTACTGGAAAGGGTCCTTGGGTGCCCTGCCTCACCTCGAGAAGCATCCGTTTTGCCCTGCCAAGCCTCGAAGAGATTCCTGAGGTGTCCCTCGTTACTAGACAGGAGTCCTGACGTCACTGAAGAAACTCGTGTTTTGAAGGGCCTTCCCCGCCGTAAGTCGAGAACATACCCCAGGTCCCTGCCGCAACTCGAGAAAAACAATGAGACTTCCCCCTAGAGGCGAGATGAGGCCCCATTCCCCTGCAGTGCATGCAGAGCTATTCCGTGATCCCATTCAAACAAGTCAGGAGCTTCGACTTGCTTAATCGATCTCGAGACAGTCCCCAAGAACACTGTCACCAGTCTAGACGGACCCTGAGGCCACCCCAGCAACGCAAAGCAGCTGCATGTGCCCCAAATCAACTCGAGATGAGGCCCGATTCCCCTGCATTGACTCCAGAGCCATTCCCCGTTCCCCATTCAACACGACCGGTGGCTCGACTTCCTTCAGGCAACTCCAGAGATGCCCCGAGAACACTGTCCCAAGTCTAGAGGAACACTAACTTCAGCACAGCAACTCGAGGAATGCTCCGTGTACCCCAAATCGTCTCGAGATGAGAGCTGATTCCCTGGCTTAGGCTCAAGACGTATGCCAACTTTCCAGAAGCACCTCAGGAGGAGGCTTCTCTCAGCAATACCTATGTGGGAGGGACCCCGAGTTTGCTGCCTCAAGGGGAATATACAGCGAGAAGCCCTAAATTGAAAGGAGGCCCAATTTCCTTGCAGTTGCTTGAATACAGGCTCGTGTTTAATCTCACAACATGAAGGCATGTCTGAATCCCCTGTGGAGACCTTAAAGAAAGCCCTAGGTCCCTGCCTCATTTTGACGGAATGCCTCACATCCCGCTGACACCTCGAGAGGCACGCGGAGTTCATTGCTTCAAAAGGTGACGATGCCTGACTCCTCTTGAATACTGATAGGAATCCCAAAATCCCTGTGGCTAAAGGAAAGGGTCCTTGAGTGCACTGCCTCACCTCGAGAAGCGTCCCTTTTGCCCTGCCAAGCTTGGAAGAGATTCCTGAGGTGTCCCTCGTTACTAGACAGGAGTCCTGACGTCACTGAAGAAACTCGTGTTTTGAAGGGCCATCCCGCCGTAAGTCGAGAACATACCCCAGGTCCCCGCCGCAACTCGAGTAAAACCATGAGACTTCCCCCTAGAGGCGAGATGAGGCCCCATTCCCCTGCAGTGCATGCAGAGCTATTCCGTGATCCCATTCAAACAAGTCAGGAGCTTCGACTTGCTTAATGGATCTCGAGACAGTCCCCAAGAACACTGTCACCAGTCTAGACAGACCCTGAGGTCACCCCAGCAACGCAAAGCAGCTCCATGTGACCCAAATCAACTCGAGATGAGGCCCGATTCCCCTGCATTGACTCCAGAGCCATTCCCCGCTCCGCATTCAACATGACCGGTGGCTCGACTTCCTTCAGGTAACTCCAGAGATGCCCCGAGAACACTGTCCCAAGTCTAGAGGAACACCAACTTCAGCACAGCAAATCGAGGAATGCTCCGTGTACCCCAAATCGTCTCGAGATGAGAGGTGATTCCCTGGCTTAGGCTCAAGACGTATGCCAACTTTCCAGAAGCACCTCAGGAGGAGGCTTCTCTCAGCAATAGGTATGTGGGAGGGACCCCGAGTTTGCTGCCTCAAGGGGAATATACAGCGAGAAGCCCTAACTTGAAAGGAGGCCGGATTTCACTGCAGTGGCTTGAATACAGGCTCTTCTTTGATCTCAAAACATGAAGGGATGACTGAATGCCCTGTGGAGACCTTAGAGAAAGCCCTAGGTCCATGCCTCATTTTGACGGAATGCCTCACATCCCGCTGACACCTCGAGAGGCACGCAGAGTTCATTGCTTCAAAAGGTGACGATGCCTGACTCATCTTGAATACTGATAGGAATCCCAAAATCCCTGTGGCTACTGGAAAGGGTCCTTGGGTGCCCTGCCTCACCTCGAGAAGCGTCCCTTTTGCCCTGCCAAGCTTGGAAGAGATTCCTGAGGTGTCCCTCGTTACTAGACAGGAGTCCTGACGTCACTGAAGAAACTCGTGTTTTGAAGGGCCATCCCCGCCGTAAGTCGAGAACATACCCCAGGTCCCCGCCGCAACTCGAGAAAAACCATGAGACTTCCCCCTAGAGGCGAGATGAGGCCCCATTCCCCTGCAGTGCATGCAGAGCTATTCCGTGATCCCATTCAAACAAGTCAGGAGATTCGACTTGCTTAATGGATCTCGAGACAGTCCCCAAGAACACTGTCACCAGTCTAGACGGACGCTGAGGTCACCCCAGCAACGCAAAGCAGCTCCATGTGACCCAAATCAACTCGAGATGAGGCCCGATTCCCCTGCATTGACTCCAGAGCCATTCCCCGATCCCCATTCAAAACGACCGGTGGCTCGACTTCCTTCAGGCAACTCCAGAGATTCCACGAGAAAACTGTCCCAAGTCTAGAGGAACACCAACTTCAGCACAGCAACTCGAGGAATGCTCCGTGTACCCCAAATCGTCTCGAGATGAGAGCTGATTCCCTGGCTTAGGGTCAATACGTATGCCAACTTTCCAGAAGCACCTCAGGAGGAGGCTTCTCTCAGCATAGGTATGTGGGAGGGACCCCGAGTTTGCTGCCTCAAGGGGAATATACAGCGAGAAGCCCTAACTTGAAAGGAGGCCGGATTTCCTTGCAGTGGCTTGAATACAGGCTCGTCTTTCATCTCACAACATGAAGGGATGACGGAATCCACTGTGGAGACCTTAGAGAAAGCCCTAGGTCCCTGCCTCATTTTGACGGAATGCCTCACATCCCGTTGACACCTCGAGAGGCACGCAGAGTTCATTGCTTCAAAAGGTGACGATGCCTGACTCTTCTTGAATACTGATAGGAATCCCAAAATCCCCGTGGCTACTGGAAAGGGTCCTTGGGTGCCCTGCCTCACCTCGAGAAGCATCCGTTTTGCCCTGCCAAGCCTCGAAGAGATTCCTGAGGTGTCCCTCGTTACTAGACAGGAGTCCTGACGTCACTGAAGAAACTCGTGTTTTGAAGGGCCTTCCCCGCCGTAAGTCGAGAACATACCCCAGGTCCCTGCCGCAACTCGAGAAAAACAATGAGACTTCCCCCTAGAGGCGAGATGAGGCCCATTCCCCTGCAGTGCATGAAGAGCTATTCCGTGATCCCATTCAAACAAGTCAGGAGCTTCGACTTGCTTAATGGATCTCGAGACAGTCCCCAAGAACACTGTCACCAGTCTAGACGGACCCTGAGGCCACCCCAGCAACGCAAAGCAGTTCCATGTGCCCCAAATCAACTCGAGATGAGGCCCGATTCCCCTGCATTGACTCCAGAGCCATTCCCCGTTCCCCATTCAACACGAACGGTGGCTCGACTTCCTTCAGGCAACTCCAGAGATGCCCCGAGAACACTGTCCCAAGTCTAGAGGAACACCAACTTCAGCACAGCAACTCGAGGAATGCTCCGTGTACACCAAATCGTCTCGAGATGAGAGCTGATTCCCTGGCTTAGGCTCAAGACGTATGCCAACTTTCCAGAAGAACCTCAGGAGGAGGCTTCTCTCAGCAATAGCTATGTGGGAGGGACCCCGAGTTTGCTGCCTCAAGGGGAATATACAGCGAGAAGCCCTAAATTGAAAGGAGGCCCGATTTCCTTGCAGTGGCTTG